GGGGAGGGCACTCAACAGGAATGCAGGAATCTAGGTTCTTGCTCCAAAAGATATTTCTTGTTATGAAACCAGAGCAGTTTTCAACAAGGTGGAACAGAGAGATCCTCTCCCTAGAGCAACTCAGAGGTTACTGATTGGAGCTGAGAGAGAAGCCGAGAGAGCAACAAGCTGGGATATTGGGCAGAGGTGGTGGCTCTTCCCATCCCCATCACTTCTCCCTTCTGAACGGTGTCAGAGTCCCACTGGATGTGATGATTAGCAGAGGTGTGCAAGGAGAATATCCATCTCGTATTCTGACGAAGACTGATGTGGGTCTAAACCACCAGCAGTTCAGCCCTGCCAGGGCACTGGTGACAGTGTGCAGGCCTACTCACAGGCACACAAATGCTGAGGGACTCTAGATGTTAGCAGGACTATGCAAGGGCTTTGTGGGTGCCAGTGATGTCTAGACACTTAACTCTAGCCGTTTGGGATCAAGTTACCAGTTAACTAGAATAACATCTGAATAAATAACCCAGGGGGCAACTGTACGGGTGATTTTGTTTCAGAAAGCTACTGCTGAATTTGTGAGCCATACCACCAGAGAACTGCTGGAACAGAGGCAGCTTGTTGGGGAAAAGGCTCTGCGTGTCAGAGAGTGCACAGGACCTGATCTGCAGCTGCTTGGTATGTTTGTGGGTAAAGCACTGGGAAGGGATTAGGCACACAGAAACCAGGTATAAAACAAAACTCAAGAAAAAAACTCAGCAGAGCTACTTTTCCTCTTCTACCGTTTTGAAAAACTGAGTGCTTGATCTCCCGTTGTCTTCTGGGCTCTGCCATACGGCACAGGCTGATAAAAGAGAAAACTTCAGTTTCCCTAGTCACCCTGTTAATAAGTGCTGATGGGAGAGGAAATGAGGGTGAAATTATGACCACTTAATGAGGCTTCTGCGACACGGTTTGCTGGAGTGTGGAAGTGCCTCTCCCAGAGTCTCAGGCTGCATGCTCAGCATCCATTAGTAAGTGAATGAGGCCAGCATTCAAAACAGAGGCTGGTGCTCTGGGACAGGCCATCCATCAACACCTCTGGCCATTTGGAGACACTGAGCTGCACCGTTACTGTATGATGAAGCCACAGAAGGGGTGAATGGAGTAAGACCGAGGGTCTTACATAAATAACCGGTCCAATTGTTTATATGGTTATATATGATATAACTCCGATACCAGTTTAGAAGAAAGTGAGAAGGAAGAAAGAAACCTGCAGTGGTAGTTTGCTTTCAAAGAGAACCTGAGGATGAAAGAATATTGTTACTGTAGAGGCCGTGACTTGCAGCGTCAGAGGACTGCATGCTCTGCAATGCACAGAGAATCTACGCCAGCACAACAGCATCCCCATACCTATTTTGATTTCAACATTAATTTGCTCTTATATGCAGGTCCCAGAAATTCTGTGGGTTATTCTAATACGATCCTTGGACACTTTAGGTGAGTACTGCAGCTACAAAAATATACCAGTTCAAGAATAAAACCAGCCAACTTGCCCTTTACCCTTTTAAATGAGGAGAGGGAAAATATGAGAATTGTATTTTCCCATCACAAAGGGTATTACTCATTGTGAGAAAACAGCAATTTGCCAGGCTTCTTCATTCCGTCATAAACTAAGCTCAACAGGCCAAATTTTGAATGTGGTTGCCTCCCAAGAGGAGCACAGTGCAGGATTTGAAACTCTTGTTAGGAAGTCATTTTATGTATTTTAGGTGAAAGAGTAATGAGTGGAGATTTAGGCACCATGAAAATGCAGATATTTCATCCAGATGTTGTAGGAAGGACTTTCTTTAATTATTTGACCTAAAAATGCCCAGAAGTCACACTTTATTTTAAAATACTTTAAGTGCTAACTCTGTAGCCTCTGACGCACTCCTAGTTCCATTATTAGGTGGCTATTATGGGACCAGGAGTCCCTTCCACTGACTGTAGGGGTCTCCTGCTATAGAAGTTTGACATCTGCTTGATATTATTATTCCATTAGAACAGTAAATCTTCACTCTACTGGCTTTCCTGTGGGCTCTGACACATTCCAATTTAGTGACAAATGTCCCTTGAGTCAGCAGTTATTTGACAGGCTGGGAGGTGCTCCTGCAAAGGAACTGACAAACGGTTTCCATGATAAATTGAAGTATCTTCAGGAAGTAGGCAGAATTTCTGCATGAACATCGAGCTGAAAAAGAACTCCCAAAATTCCAAGAGATTTGTGATAATCCAAAAGCTTCCTCCACAGATATGTAAATTCCTGTGTGACATTATACATTTGCACAAGAAATCAGAGCAGACTGAAGATCACACCATTTCATGCCCACAGGTTTCCTCAAACAAGGAAGCAGGTAACAATAAAGTAGCATGCTCTTGCCCTTCCGAACCATCTCTGCTTCCTTTTATAACAGAATTAAGAATTTCTACTGGGTTGCATCCAGTCATTCTAGTGAAAATTTGAGACCAAATGAATCTGTTCTATACAAGTTTGCCAAATCCAGGCTGATAGCAGAAATAGTCCCCAGTTCAGAGCTCCTACAGGATCAAACTCCAACAACTCTTAAAAGTATGCTGGTGGTCATGATAATAACGCAGGGTAATGGCTCCTTTCACTCAAGGATCTCTAGACACTTTACAGATGTGAATGGAGAACTATGATGTGGAATTTCCCAGTCCCATTTTGTAGAGAATTTTTCTGGCCCTTAGTGTGTTCAAGTGATTCATCCTGGCTGTGAGAAATACAAAAACTCGGATGGAGCCCTCTGGGAACGTGATTCTCAGTACTTGGATTAAAGCATTAGTCATGACATCATCCCTTCACAAGATCGGAGCTCATTGTTTTGTGGCTGGGTGTCTTCTCCCTTCAGCGTGGAGATTAGCTCATGTAAACTAAACACAGGAAAATAACAGCCAATCCTTTCCCTCCAGCAGCAAGCACAGAAAAGGCAACTGTCTTTCTGGGTGTCACTAACATCACAGGAGTAGTGGGCGCAATGGGCTCTGCATTTAACATGACAAACATACATCCCAGAGCCAAATTTATAATGGTTGAGACCACGATCTAGGTTCTCACTCCATATCTGTCATCAATGCTGACCCAGGAATACCCCTGTGGTTTCCTGGCCAAAAGGAAATAGGATAGTTTTCTTGAAGAATTAGTCAGTAATTACAGTCAAAACAAAAAAACACAAATCAACCCTGATAACTCTTAAATCATTTGTACAGTAGATTCTCTTTTGTTTTCTTAGTTGCGTTTTACCAGTTTTCTAGTCCCTAAAAGAAACCTCCTCCTCAGATAACCCACAAGTTTCTAATGTAAAACTACACTGCCATGAACTGACATCTGGGTCAAGCTTTCTCTTCCAATACACAGAAGCACAGACTGGCACGCAAACACAAAATTCTCTCCTCTGCAGTCACCTTAAGGTATTTTTGATCTACTACCAGGGCAGCGTTACTGTGTTCAAATCTAGAGATACAGGAGTTACAACACTGACTGAAAACAAGTACCTTTGTGCAACAGTTGAGAACTGCAGCTTGGCAGGGTAACGTGCTGACCTACATCACATCGGACAGGTCTACATCATGCTGCTGAACAGCAAAGGAGAAACTGCTATCCTACAAGCAGCATTGTATATGCACAGTGCTGCAAAGATACCACATCAGCAGATGCTGAAGTTCTCCAAGACACACTCATCTCACTCAAAAGCTGGTTCATCAGTTGTGACTTAATGGTCCTCAGCATTTCAGCCCTATTTCCTAAATCCCTCAACCCGTAGCCAGCTGAGCAGTTGGACCAAACCAGACTGCTCTCTGAGCAGCTGAGAAACGTTGAACCTTTCTCAGCAGAAAGGTAGGTGTTGCCATTAGCCACTGGACATTATGTCTCCTACCTCAAGGGACACATGGTGAACCGATTGCTGATGACACACATACCACCCATTCCTTCCCATTTCTGCATAAACACACACAGACACACAGACACACAGACACACACACACACGTGCACACACAGCCTGTTGGAGACAGAAAAAAAGAGGAATGACCAAACACGGCTCCTTCAGCTGTGAACACCCTACCACATACAGACATGCAGCACCCATTAATCAGGCACAGACTGCAGCTCTCTGTCATTCCTGATCCATATAATCTGTTGCTTTAGGAAAGGCAGAAAATGCTGCTTGGGAGTTTGGAGCTTTCCAATTATTATTACTGTTTCATTAAATAGTTGTTCTCATTTTCCTTCTTACGGTAACCTCTCCAGATAGTCACGGAGATTTTAATGCATTTTCTTTCTTTTTCCATAAAGAGGGAATACATGCAGTGCAAGAAGTGCACAGACAGCACTGAGATGAAATTCCAAGCTCTGTCTGTAGCAAGACTCCCTGGTACATCAGAGTTCATCTATCCCAGCTAGTCAGTGAGAATGGGACTATATACTCGGTCTGTCCCACAGTTAATAAGATGATGCTTGTAATTCTGGCCTTCTCATTCCATAGGCTCCAATGCCAGCAGGGAAACTTGTGTTTTCACAGAGTAAGTGACTGATAAGCTTTCTGCAGACTCAGGCAGACAACATCATACTGAGTAAGAGGCTATTTCCATTTAAAAGATTTTCTTTGCAACGGTGAATGATAGAAACTTCCTTTACAAAATGCAAACAAATGAAAGTTTAGATTTTGCCCATGCTGAATGAGTCCCATAAATGCATGATGGAGGCCAGATACAGCCTACAGGGCGTACGTTTGACACCTCTCGCCTGTATGGACAGGAAATGGATACAATAGTTAGCCCCATTTCGGTTCCCTGAAGATATAAATAATCTTGACACAGAGTGCTCAAGCATTTGTAGACCACCCAGGAGACTTGCATTTAAATGACCTTTCTTTGCTTGGACAATCAATTAGACTAATGTTTATTTCAAGGGTTGCAACATTTGTTCTTAAATAGAAGCAGCTCAGAGGAGGCATGTATATAATCCCACTTACTTGTTGGTAACTGCCTGCATAAACTCATCAATCAGTTCGTCGTATTGTTTCCCACGAACCCTCTTGTGTTTCAGTCCAATATAGAGTGGATCGTTCAGAAGAGCCTATGACACAAAGGAATTCTGTTGACAAGAGTCTCTTCCATGGCTAGAAGGAGATTTATGTCCTAGCCTCTCAAAACATTTGTCCGTTGTAGTCAGATTAGTTTCACTCAGCATGCAGTGAACATCACTTTACACACAGGTCTTCCAGATCACAAGGCAGATCCAAGGCAAGTTAACTTGTGCTATGGACTATCTTTTTGTGGAGACACAGTCAGAGGAACTTAAGTGTTTGTTGGACTACAATAGGAAATGGAGCTCTGCGTCCCCAGAACAGAAACAGCTCTACCAAGACACTCTACCAAGGTGTCTCACTCCTCATGAACAGGGATGACCTTGTGTAGGGAGCATTTACTGCTCAATCAGTTCTTGATTTCTCACTGGAGGGAAGGGTGTTGACCACACAGTGCTTTGAGCAATGAAGATCACCTGCAGTAACCTGAAATAACCTGTAATTTAGGCCTTTAGGAGCTAGCCCAGAGCTGACCAGAACCACTAATCAGATGCCATAAGGTTCCCGTGCCCTTTAGCTAGCACTCACCTCTAGTTCTCTACAGCTGTCATGGCAGAATATTTTCTTACCACAGATCAGTTTATTTTTTAGCTCCTGCTGCGAATATAAAAATGAGCCATTCCTCCAACCAATCCACCAGGTGTTAAGTTAGGATCCATATGCCAAAGGGCTGGCTCAGCATGGAAACAGCATATAACTTGGGGAAAAATCACAGGACAGACGGTAGCAGGAGACAGGTGGGCCAACACCTCAGTGAGTCACTACAAAGCAACCAGAGTTGCCTCCTGGTTTCAGGAACTGAATCATCAATACGAGAAGAGGGTAACGCATCACAAGCCTATTGTCCTGTAGCCATATGGGCTCAAAATGCTGGCAGAACTAAAATTAGATCTGTTTTTCCAGCCACAGCTGTTTTCCTTTAGCAGGAAAGATGAAAGAAGTTTTCGTTGGAGTTTGATACGCTAACCCTTCAGGGCCGTGAAAGAGAAAGCAGAATCATTTGTATTAATTCACTAGTTGTTCATATAGGTCAAAGTGCTCTGGGGCCTGTTTCTGGACTATAAAATTCTCTCACAGGCAAGCTTGGAAATGCCAAGCTCTGAAAAAAGACTGATTTGCTGAAAGAGTACATGAAAGTATTCTAGACTGTCAGAAAGACAAGGTGGGAAGTGTTGTTAAAAATATAATAAAACTGCTGTATTTACTGCATTCTACCTGAGATGCCTGTGTTAGCAGCGCAGTCACCCTAGGCTCACAGGGAGAGATGAACAGGACGAGTGTCTATTGGAGATATCTCTTTCTGCACTGATAAAATGGTGACGTTAGAATGAGTTCACACCTGGGACAGGTTGCTTCTGGGGTGTCCCTAGGGTTGGGTGAGGTTGGGTTTATGCACTTAACTAACAAAAATCATGTCAATCAATTAAAATGCATTAAATTAATGAATTAATTATTTTTAGTGTGATGGAGGCTTGTAGTCAAAACACAGGCCAGGAAACTGTGCTACTCCTGTATCTTAATCCCAGTCTGGAAATTGCTTCCACAGAGAAGCTCCTGGACGCTTAAATTGCATGGGAACTTGGAGAGAACGAAAGTGCCCAAGCCTTGGATTCCCTTTCTCTGATACCAGCTGACCCTTGAAGATACCTAAAAACCACCCAGTGTGCTGCTCTAGATCACAGTGTCCCTCTGCATACTGAGGTACCAACAGATGGTTGTATAAGTTCAGCAGTGGGTGGGGAAGCACCTGCACCCAGGTCCCTCATAGACTGGCCACTGCACCAAAGGCATACAAGAATCCTGATATCAGAGACAGAAGAGGTGGTTGGGAACCTCACGCCAGATGCCATCTATGGCCACTGATTTTGCTTTTCAAGTGCCCAGTGTGAGAGACCCGGGGCTTGAGTAAAAGAGGTGCTGAAAATCCAGCTTTCCAATGAGTGTCTGAAAATGTCAGGCACTCACGGAAGCATCTGTCTTCATATAAAAGCTCAAAGCTTTTCTACCCCAGATTTGTCATTTCTCTCATGAAACACGTTTGGTTTACTTAGGGTCAAGTGAGACACAAGTACATTTTACAGCCGTGGACAAGCCCTGGCCATCACAAACAACTATAGGCTACTCATTAAAAAGGAAAAAAAAAAAAAGACATCCTCACAGATGTCCTTTCTGGCATTGCTAAAATGCTGCACTTCAGCCTTTCTGAGCCAGAGTCATACGGCAAAAATCTGCAAACAGATGGAGTCCTCCTGTCTGGTTATCGTGTGCAGTAAAGTGTGCAATCTGACAAAACACTGAAATTAATCATTCACAAACTGCCCACCAGGGATTCTCCATTTGCTGGAATACAGTCACCTCTACACGAGACACGGGCATCTGTCTGTTTCCTCACAATTACCACAGGAAGAATAAATCTGGATCTTCCTGGCTGAAATCTTTTAACTCACCTTGCCTTGCTGAAAGATGGAGCTGACCGGTCAGCTCCAACTGGCAATGCTCTGAGTCTTCTCGCCAAGGGACCAGTAGGCTATTCAGTGTTTATTTCAGTTCCCCATAAGAACAAGAGCTTCTTTACCATCAAACAGGAATGCAACCTGACCACTTCCCTGCAGTGCTGGTCTAGCCATTGTCTGATCTTGGATGTCTCTGGCTTTGCCTCTACATACAGGGACCTGGTCTCCGAGTTAAGCATTCATGTCAATAATTCCTCCCCGTCAGATTCATGAAAAACTGTAAGTCTTACCTCATTGTCTGTGCCAACATCCAGCAGGACAGGGAGACACTGTTGTGGGTGAACTCCACCACAAGCTGTATACAAAGCAAGCTTCCCCACCGGGATACCCATGCCATAACTTCCTAGATCTCCTAATCCGAGAATCCTCTCTCCATCTGTCACCACAATAGCCTAGGAGGATCAAGAGAGACCACTGTATAATGTTGCCAAGGCTTTAGTAGCAAAACCAACTCCACTGTCCTCATACCAATGCCATTCTGCAGTTGCAATGTGCAATGGATATTTGTTCCTTCTCCATGATGCCATGTTAATTAGCTACTGATGATACAGGGCTCTTCGTTTTGGAGGAGGAGATAATGTGACCGATGGGTGAGCTGCAATCAGTATGGGAGTACAGCAGTTCTGCTTGCCAACATTACAACTGTGTTGTAGCAGAACCCAACAAGTAGGGCTCTTTGTGCACCTCCAGTTGTACAGTCAGAAGCTGCATAAAAGAGATGTGGCTCCGGTTTTCCTCTCTTTTTGCAATGGACTATTAGAAAAAAGAGCTCTGAGCAAAAACACCTTTCCTCATATACCGCTTTTGTGGAAGTAACCAGCTCATGTCTCCATACTCTTGTAGAGTAGCTGTAGAGTGGCCAACATTAGAAAATCAAAGAAAAACTCATTTTAACTGGGTTCTCTTGCCTCTGGTGTCCCTGACAGCAGTAGTGAGATAGCACTAAGTTTGCAAGAGACATGACGTAAAAGAGGGAGAGGAAGAAGGAAGGCACAGAGACATTCAGAACGGTAGAAGAAAGGAACAGAAGCGAAAAGAGTAGAGAGGAAATTGGTCAATGGTCACTTAGGAGATGTCTATGCTGCAGCAGAGTTGTGACTGCAAGGCAGATAGACTGAAGCTGTTTGCATGGTTAGCAACATGGGCTGCAGAGGGGCTGTACAAACCAGCTGGAGGCATATGTACCGGAATGTCAGTCCATGCACTCCCCTCTCATCTAGACAAGTCCGTTTATAGCCTTTGGTTAGGGCTCTTTTCACCAAAAACCAAGTGATTTACACCGCAAGTGTCTTCACTATGAGTAAAGTCCTGTGCTCCCTTTAGAGTCAGTAGAGAGAAGGAGAAACTCTTCAGGAGCAACTCCACTCATCCCTACGTCGACCTCTAAAACAGATCAGACTCACCCTGTCTCAGAAGTATCTGTTTCACTCTATTGACTATAGAGGGTCACTGTTCACATGCAGGGGCCATAGATATCTCCAGTTAGTGGAAAGGTCTCCCACACTATGTATTTAATATTAAATCTTTTTCCCACCTAACTGGGAGTTAAACAATTGCCACTTAACTCTTGGTGCAATTGGCTTTCTGCATTTCAGCAATACTGTGATGTGCTACCTCATCCAAATCTCTGTTCTATAACTTTCTGCTTTTCTCTTTACTGTATCTTCTCCTTGTGACAAGAAGGGAAATAAGAGCCTGCTTAACACTGTCCAAATTAGAAGTCCAAAGTTGAGCTATGCAACCCACACTGTACATCATCCAGATTTTAGGAGGCAAGGGAACAAGAAGCTCTGACTAAGGTTCACATATTTTAGGTTAACTACTACATATGTCAGCTTTGTCCCCAGGGTCAGGCACTCTTGTGGGCAACTCTGAAACCCAGTAAGAACAGGAAGATACTGGAGTCCAGTCCCACTGCGGGAGAAAAGCTGTAAATACAATAACAAACCTCAACTTTCAATGCTGTCACAGCACTTCAGAGAACAGAGCGCTCACATCAAATGGATTACTGGACTGCGGGTGACTCAAAAGTACAGTCTAGCTTGGATTTCAAAGGAGAAGACTGTGGAGAAGTTCTTCATTTGCTGATCTGCAAAGTTAATGCCAAACTTAGGACACACAGACGTGTGCTTCAGCAAGAAATAAAGAGAATGGGGGATCAGAAGCTATCTTATCAGAGGTGCTTTCTTTTTGAGGGGGTAATAAAGATACGTTGGTTTACTGCTAGGATGGAGAAGCATTTCCTCGTTTAGGAATGCAATAAGCCTCTTTCTCCATTTTCCCATTTCAGAGTCCTTTCCTGCCTATTTCAGACGACTGAAGGGAGAAACTGTGAAAGGACTTAAACTTTTGCACTATGGCTTCAGGATGAACAGTCAGATGCTTTTACGCAACATAAAGTATATACATCTCCCAAGGATATTTTCTGCCTTAACTTAACCTATTGTTTGCAATGGGAGAACAGAATTCCATTACATTGCATAGTTCAGGATTAAGCCTGAGGAGAAATAAAAGATACACGGGGCACATATGCATCTATTTTGCCTTTTAGCAAAAAAACCCACCCCTCTGGTAGTTTCAGGGTGGTAATGTACATGATATATTCTAGGGTTGTAATGCACATAACACCAATAATGACAATCTATATGTAACAGGGATTATTTTGAAACAGTCCTGCTATATTTAGAATATTTGTTGTTCTGCTGTTGCCAGTTTCTTGTCTCTAGGACTTAGAATTCCCCTAAAGTGAACCTTCAATGAAATACCCATTCAAACTAAAAGGACTATATACCTATTCTTAGGGTAGAGGTTGAACATGCCCTTCGGGGAGAGATTCATAACCATGACAGTAATACCCTTATTATCCTCCATTCTGAGACATTTGCTTATTTGTTTTTCCTTCTGAGTCAATGAGAAGTGTTAGATAGTGATGGGAAAGTCTCTTTTTCGAGTGGGCTCCATCTGTTTCTGGGTGTGCACTCACTTCTCCACACCCAGAGGATGCAATTGGGACTGGAAGGCAGTAACTGGAACATGGAAAACAGTGAGTGCATACACTGAGACTGGTTTATCCTGAAACTGACACAAAAAAGGAGTCAAAATTCTAACTATGCAGAGACTATTTTTTGAAAAAGAGTTAAGAAGAGCCTGAAAACTTCTCGAGAGCGCTTGCAAAACCCATCAGAGAGTGTATTTCTTCTGTCCTAGGTGTGCTGCGCTGTATAGGTCCCAAAGCTCTCCAAGGTACAGAACACTTGAAAAATACAGGAAAGCAGAAAATGAAAGACATTCACTGCTGCGAATGTTGGAGAGGGGAACTGGGTTTCATAGCTGTTTACGGTCCTTTGGATTCAAAAAATAAAAAAACAAAGTTTCAATGGGTACCTGACTTACAAGCACATTAAAATAATGTTTTTAATCAATCACCACCACATGATCAACACTCAACAAACAGCACAATAATCTCTGGCTGAGGAGGAGAAACTCTTCTAACTGAACCACTGGTTTAACAGTTAGGAACCTGTTTTCTACCTCCATCTGTGCTACAGACTTTCTTGATGACTCTGCTCAAGTCTTTGCCTAAAACTTAGGTGCGCAGTTTAAGCCAATCACCTAGCCAATTTCTGGCAGCATCCCCAGGTATTTCTTCACTGCCTTTAATGGGACTTACTGCTGTCAGTGTTCAATGTGGTCTGAGCCTGTCTAAAAATCCAAGTTCCTCCATGGAGTTCAGGTGCCTCCCCACTTATCTCAAAATCACAACAGTGCACAAGTCCCTACCAGTTCAGGCATGGAGAATCCTGTGTACAAACATATATGGAAACCTGCAGTCCGAAACAGAAATACTGACCAAATCAGCTGCCTCAGTGGTCTAGCAGATCAGGAAAGTAGATAGGTTTGAATCCCTCCCATGGATTGCTGCACTTCCTATGGTCTGTTTTGCGTGCCAGAGGGGGCTGTCTCAACAACAGTCTGTCACCGTTCTGTGCCAGTTTCCCCATCTGCAAAAACGTATCTCTCAGCCACAAGGAGTTCTGCTCACAATCCTGAGTCAGAAAGAACTGGAAATACTGAGATCTTTGGACAGAGTAAGGACAAAATATCTAGTCTGCATTTGCTCTCCCCGGTTCCAAAGGCAAGGTTACAGTAACATAATTACTTCTTCTGGAAACGTGTTAAATACTACTCCTTTTTCTTAGAAATGGAAGATGTTTGCAAGGTTTTCTCAGCTTTGTTCCTGAGAGAAACAGCTGAGTTATATGAGATTGAAGTTCTGTCCCGGGCACGCATATTTTCAAACTGATGAGGGAGGTGATTGGCATGACCTGACTTTAGTGTTGGCTTTATTTCATGCCAGGGACTTGCCTGCCCCTGAGCTCTAGTGGAAAACACTTCAAAAGATCGCTTTTTGGGTGGGGTGTTAAGTAACTTTTCCGGCTGCTGGATATCAAACGTTATCTGGAAAGCTGGCGGTGTTCTGGAGGCTGCATGACTCACTGGATTTGGGGATGAGTCCTACACGTATGTCAGCTACACAGATATCTTAAGAGACTTGATACATGTAAAAAATTGCAAACTAGTCATAGAACTCTTCAATACCCATAAGTTAGGTCTCGGCCAGGGCCCCTGTCCTGCAAAAATTTATTACAATGCACACTCTTTTTATTGGTCAATGTCCTGCTACCTTTGATAAAGACCTTTTTGAGCTCATTCACGTTAGTCTCTGAGGTGCAATTGCTGGCCTGGAAGTTCTTTGAGGGAGGGAATATTTCCTATGTTGTCCTTTCAAATAGAAATTCTGTAATAATCCCAAGTAGTTCCATTCAATATCCTATTTTGCACCCAACCACCTGTAATTTCCCCATCCACAGAGGACATGACACATACCTTAATATTTTCCTCAGGCCAAGAGTTTAGCATTGTTGCAATATGCCCTTTGTCATGAATGGTGATAAACAACCCCCTAGGAAAGAAAAAAAAGAAAAAGAAACCTTGTAATAAAATCAATAACTCTAAGATAAAATAAAACAAGTAAAACTTGAAAATGCAGGGAAATGAGCTAGTGAGCACAAACACAGGCTATTCACTGGCATGTAAATGAGACCTCAGGGGATAGCTAATACCAAGTTCAGTTTTCATTTCAGAACACCAAGGCCCAAGATCCTTAATGGTAACTTCATTCAACAGCCACTGGTGTTGCACATTCCACCTTTGTGAAATTCCTTTGCTTTCGGGAGCAATCTTAGACGCATCCCAAAAGAACTCTCTGGCTAAAATAATTCTGCTAAATGCACGTGAGGCTGATGATTTTACTTAAAGCCTTCTTAAAAACTCTTTCATGAAAAGCTTATTGGTGGCAATTTAAACAGTGAAAGTGTGATTCTTCTCATCCAGGTACCGATGTAAACCATGTGCATGGCTACTTCAGAGCCAGTCATCCTTCTCTAGCAAAAAGAACTCTGAATGTTTCTAAGTCCTTCCAGAGTTTGATCATCTGGCCTGTTTTAGAGGTCTACCCAGAAGGAGCTGAATCATGTCCCAGAAACATCTGTTTCAACAGATCATACAGGGAGTCTAGACAACTTCTTTTGATATTAACAACTATTCTGCAGAGAGCTAAAGTTAGATTCAACATGAGCAAGTTCCTGATGAGGCAGAGTAGTGTAATGAGCAGGACACCACTCTGGGACTGAGGAGGGTTGGGTTCTTGTCAAGCCTTTGCTGTGCTATGCCAAGCGATCTCAGAGAAGACTGTTTAGCTCCTTAAAACTGTCTCCCCTCTTGCTCTTTGTCTTCAGGGACTGTAAACATTTCAAGGGAAGCTTGTCTCACGCTGTTCATCTAGCCTGGGCTCTACAAGTAGCTGTGGCCTTGGGGCTGCATCTGCAGATACCCTTACAAAGGGATAATATTTAAGATATGGAGACACTGGCTGTCTACCACATGGGCTTGATATGAGTATACAACTTCACTCAGTAACTCAATACCAGTCCTCACTTGACAGTAAAATCAGTGCTGACTAGCCCAAAGGATCGCCCACGTGTGCCCCTTGCAATACGAGCATTTGGATCAATATTTGCCATGGCATTTGTCTTGACCGCTCCAAGCTTGCCTTTAGCTATAACACTTTTTTCACCTGATTATCTGACCCCAGTTTTTTGACACCTGCATTCACTGAATGAAAAACACCAAAAATCACGAGAAGTGAAACAGAAAATTAAATGCTTGGATGAAACCTCAGTATGAAGTATTTGTAGTAACAATAGTAAAACTGATTGCATTAAGGCTAAACTCTTCTCAAATCAAAGGTTATCATTGTTTAAAGAAAATGCCATATTTTTAATAAAATTAGGGACTGGAAGACAGCATACTTGGAATGTGCCTTAGACCAGCAGCTTATTTTCTCCTCTTTGCTATTATAACAAAAAATAGTATCCTTACCATGGATACTTCCGATAGCCAGGATGATATTATTCACTTGACTAATCTCTGCTCAGATATTTTGGCATTTTTAAGCTCCATTTTAGCAGGGTTCGCCCCAAAGCAGCAGCCTCCTTATGCGTCTCATGGTAAACTGCTCATGTTGTTCACAGTATCCTCTAATCACCACAAATCAAGGGCTCTAACTTGATGACTCCACCTGGGAGGCTGAGAGACCCATTTTCCCTGCCTTGTTATCTGATCAGAAATGCAGGAGTTATGCCAATGACTACTATTGTAGCATTGTGTTGGAAAGCAGCTGGAACACCAGATAAATGAGTGTTTGATGCTTACCTGTCCCTACCGTTGCTCAGCCCCAGTTAAGTTCAGATCAGGTCATGGTTTAGGGTTCTAATGTGAAATGTTAGCTAGAAAAAAGCTCATTTTTAGAGAAGTCTGAAAATAAGTTCCATTGCAAGTCCACACTAGTAATGAATAAGCAAACATAATCGGGTTTCTCTGTTTGCAGAGGACTCCCCTCATATGACTCTTCTAGGAGGGTAAATGTCTTCCCACAGTCAACTGCGGGATCTTAATGAAAAAGGCCAACTTTGAAAACAAGAAAAATAAAACAGTGATGGCTTCTACACTAATCAAGTCTCAATCACACAGAAAGATCAGAAATGCAAGAAAAAGAAAGTAAAGGTCCATTTATTCAGCATAATTCTTTAAAACTGTGCCCAGTAACCAACAAGTTAATCACATACACATGGCCTACCTAAAAGGTGTTATTCAGACATTAATCTCCATAAAAAGGAGGTACTTGTTGCTGCCTTCTACATTTGAAAAAACTCAATAACCGGGGATTAAAAGCACACATGAGTAACATGACTGCACATATTTCAAGGTAAAACATGTTTTTAAAAAGAATGCTACTGCTTTAACGCGGTATTTTCTGAAGACAGTAAAGATGCCTATTACTTAAGTGTCCAGTTGTACGCTTCATCTATTCAAATGTCTTTAGTGCTGGGAGGAATCCATCAGCTATTTAACCTCTGAAAGATATCCAGTGCTTGCAGCAGAAGCTGAAACCCAGCTCTCTACCCATTACCTGTCCTGTTGCTTGGTGACTATCTAGTTGTTTCATACAAAGCAGAAAGGACAAATACTCACTCCCTCAGAAGAGCTCCTAGCTCCGAGGGATGTCTCGGGAGTGCAGTGGGCTGCTTTTCAACCCCTGCTACAGATCTGTGAGAAGAGAGATTTCAGTCTGGGTCTTCTAAAATCTGAAACTCTCATTATGTTGCTTGGGAGGACACTTACCACTTCCACCATAGTATGTTTTGCCTGAGAAAGGACTGGCTTGGCTTAAGATAGCCAAATCCAGGTTGGTAGCTGATAAACAAGCAAAAAAGACATCCCTCTCAGAATTTGCGGTCCCTTTAATGTTATTTTTATTTGGTTTTAATTTAATATTATTTTTATTTGATGCTTACCTCCCATTGAATAAGATGACTTCTGTGGATCCTTTTCTGAAAAAAGATGCCTATAGACATTTGCTCTCCAATCAAGCTATGCCACGGACAGGGTCCCCAGTCCTAGTGCTTTACCTCTGCTGTCGCACGTAGGGAGGAATTTAGGTGAAAAATGGCTGCCTACTTTACTCCAGGCAAAATCAGATAGCTTAACTCTGACTAACAATTAACAAACTAATGGCACTACCAGTTTTGGCCATTGTGTATCTTTACTCCCCACAGAGAAGAAGCTACGTTCACAGTTAGTTAGAAGCCACACACACATGCAAAGGAGTAAAAATACTCACAAGAAATAGAGCTTCGTAAAAATTAACGGCCCTATCAATGTCAAGCCAGGACGTACTCACCGTACCACTACTTCTGGCCAAACAATAACCTTGAGAGAGCTGTTACCTTTGCAGGGGGTAATACAGAGCAGGGAGTGCTTCAATCTGCATTCTCCAGGGGTTTCAGAGCTTCAGCCTCCTATCTGTTCCTTTAAAATCACTGGTTTCACTACAGACTTCTACAGGTACAGTGAAAGTTAGACTAGATTTCAATGTGCCAGTTAGCATATCTATAAGGATGCAGGGAATGTGAAGGAGCATTACGGCATCTTAGTTTGTCACTGGCCCAACCTGTGTGGATTGCAGCAACTCAGTCAGTCTGTAGAAATGGACTGCAGGATCCAGCAGACTGCACATCATGATTGCAGAATCTACCAAAGGGGTTAGATATGTTCACCTAGACCCCATTAGACTCTTTCCCATCCCTAAGCCAGGGCCATTTTCTTTTTCTTTCTGGTTTTATTCTAGCTGAATTCATGGAAGTGATCCAAGGATAAGTTACCAAGCCATGCAGCTTATCATGTGAGCCACTGAAAAAATCCTGTGCTTGTACTCAGTACCCCTTAAATCTTGGCCATGCTGATGGCGTTATAAAAGACCCAAAATGAAGACAATCCCAGAACTGCAACGCTCATATTAGAACGAATTCAGAGACAAGAGAGATTGGGGAGGAGATGCCCAGAGGAGGAAATGACAAATGCTGGTAATGGCTTTTAGGAATAACATTAATTTCTTGTAGGCATTTGGGAAGGAGCAAGTTTTAACGAGTCTCAGGTGTTAGGAAACAAAAATATTCTCGTATGCCTTCATTCAACAAGAGGCTGCTTCTCCAAAAGGGGAAAGTAGCATTCTCTTTTCTGATCTCCATGGTCAGCACCGCTGCCTTGTGAGCTATTTCCATTTAGAAGAAACAATGTATGATGGAGACAGGTATCTCTAAAGCACTGCTGTTTATTTACTGAGAACGTGAGAAGCCTCATTTCCCCAAACACACAGGGGAATGAGTACAGATTATGCAATTTCATTCCTCAACAGCCCCAAATCTCTTATCGCTTCCTTCCTACCCAAAAGTCTTTCTCTCCCTCACAGCTTCTTCTTGGTATCACAATTGCCAATACTCCTGTGGCTGTGTTTGCAACCCTCCTGCGTGCTGTCTCTACCCACTTTTCTAGCCTGCTGTTTCCTCTGGCGTGCAATCAAACAGGAACGTTTGCTCTATGTTTGCTTTATCAGGCTCCAAGAAAACTTCTTTGACCACAGTGCTGTGGTCTTCTTACAGGCTTGCTTGTGCTGTGGTTTGGGGTAGCAAATCCTGAACTTCAGTTGCCTGGTTACATCCAGACACTTAATAGCCTCTTTACGCTTACCATGTGTGAATGACAGGCAGCAAGTACATCCATCAGCTTTACCAAGCTGGTGGATAGCCACAGAAGAGCAGAACAGATGATAGCACTGGCCCAGTGGTTTGTACACTAGCATGAAGAAAAAGGACCCTACTCCTCGCTCCACATGAATTTCTCTCAGTGGATCGGATAGGACCATATCAGTATGCTATTACTGACGCCTTTGTAGAGGAAAAGAGACACTGCTAGAATGATCTCAAAAGATCATAAATTGACAGGAGTTGAAAAGCACAAGAAATACTCATCCAACCCAGTTTCACCTTTCTTCCCCTTCAGAGA